AAGGTTTTTAAAATGTACATATATTTAAAGTCTCTTAAATAAGTAAGTCTAGCACCTAACCTGTGAGAACAATGACACAGTATGAAAGGAAACTATATCATGTAGAACTCTATACACTTGGAACTGTTCAAAGGAAAAGCTCCTTTATAGTATGTTAATTTATCTGTGCCTTCATTGTCCCAGTAGGTCAGAGTACTGCAGCAGCATTTTTTTTTTTTTTTTTACAAGGGTTGGACAGTTCAGGGCTACCAATATTATTTGTAGTTATGCTTGCTAAGATACTTAAATCTCATGCTTTGGGGCATCACCTGATTGCTGCAGACATCAGAAAGGAGCCTCCTCCCTTGTTATATAGTATAGCACTATTTGCCATGTGCAGTATGGAGGTGAGCATATGACTAATCATCCTAGAGCACCAGCTGTTGGCTGCTGTACAGAACAGGATGCCAGACTTGTTGAAATGCCTGTCCATAAGCATTATTTTCCAGTGTAGATAAAAAAATGAATAAGTGCATTGCTAAAGAAGTCTGGTTCAGAATTGTTTCCATTTGCTTCCCTTGCTTTAAGGATTGTAGTTTTAAAATACTGTTGTACTACTTTAAAGTACAAAACCCAGACCATTAAACTGCCTTTAGTCTTTCTCTTTTAAAGTTTGAGTATTCAGTTGCCTAGGATTTATCCTGGAGAATAAGATGTCATAACCTTTTTTTCTTCTTTATTATTTAACTAATGAACCAAACTTGTGTGTTTCCTGTTTAGGCTGTAGACTTCCTGTTGTGGATATTTGCAGCTTCTGTGGTTGCCTGGGCTGACCATGCTGCTCCACTACTGCTTGGCCTCAGTGCCAGCTGGTCGTCATGGAAACACAAAGAAGTATTGCCAGAATTGTCTGCAGATGATTTTGGCAAGCATCCAATTGAAAAGCTCTCTGTGCAGGAGACTCTTACTCTCCTTCCAAACAGTGTGCAGCTTTTGCTGGCTAAAGAGCCTTGGAAAGAACAAACACAAAAGGTAAAGCTGCACATAATTTACTTTCTAAAGGCCTGATCATGCAAGATGCTAAGCACTTTCTGAGGGTGACAGATCACCCTCAGTTCTCAGTGAAGTCAGCTCAGGTCTTATGTGAGGCAGCTGTTTCCTCTATATCTACTGCATCTGACTTGAGCTCTCATTTTTCTTTATCGCAGTCAGATATGACTTACTTAAAAACATGCCCTTAAATAAAGTAAGATGCAAGTTGATAAAGAACACTTAAGGGTTGGGCATTTAACATTAAGTAGGTTTACTTGGGGGGAGGGGTGTGTGCATGTGTGTACTTGCTCCTGCATATGGCTAGTTCGGCATGTAAACACTTAAGGGCAGATCTTCTACCAGTGGACGATCTCTCCCTCCCCCCACCCCCAGTTTATTGTGCACATCATTTACTTGCAAGCCTAAGTTAGGTAAGCATAAGTGTGTGTGTGTGAGATTGTATGTGCCTAACTTGGCAAATCTGGCTTGAGTTTCCTGTAATGAATATAAATGGTGACCTCTGTACATTGACATTTAATTATTTTAAACAAACATGTATGCGTTAAGGACTGGATCTTGCCTTCTTTGCACGTGCAGAACTCCCACTGAAGTGAGAGTTCGGAGGGTGTGAAGAATGCAGAACTAGGCCATTAATGTGCAAATTTGTAATTAGGTTTTAATAAAGCATTTGAGTCTGTGCCTTTTAAAAATAAACCATCCAGATATATCTGAAATATTGTATTCTCGTCTAGGCAACATACGTTACCAGAAAAACAACAGCAATTGGAGAAAAGTCAGAAAAAAGTAATTAAAAATGATCTGGGTGCTGAGGGCATTGACTTCGGGAAGTCTGGCTAAGGGTATGTCTGCAAAAAAAAAACAAGCAAAAAACCCACATAAGTAAGTCTCAGAGCCAGGTTCAACTGACTCTAGCTTGTGGGGCTAGCGCTAGGGGGCTAAAAATAGCAATGTAGATGTCCTTGCACAGGCTGGAGCCTGGTCTCTGAGACCCATTCCCTTTGCCAGGTTTCAGAGACCAGGCACTGGCCCGAGTGAGAATATCTTGGATTTTTTTAGCCCTGTAGCGTGAGCTTGACCCTCATGAGGCTGAGTAAGTTGATCCAGGCCCTGAAATTCACTATTGTGGTCTCTTTTTGCAATGTAATCAGACCCTTACAGACTGATAAAGGAGGATGAGTGCAGATATTTAAAGGGTGTAAACATCAAATATGGAGATGAATTATTTACTGTGCTTGCTATGCTACAAAGTAGTGTAACTGGGGATAATGGGATGAAGGGAAATGTCCCCAGAAGGCAAAATTCAGACTGTCAGGCAAGATCTTGTGACAGTATGTTGTAGTAGGATATATTAAGCTGTGGAATATTCTTCCAAGGGAAATGGTGGAAACTGCATTGCTTGGAATATTTAAAACTAGACTGGACCAAATATTTGAACATTTACTAAGTGACCAATTCTGCATTGACGGAGAGAGGCACTGAGTGACATAATATGTTTTTTCCACCTCTTATTACTATGATTCTCCAGCTTCTCTCAATCCACCCCAGTTCTGCAGTGTTTTATTTATTATTTTGCATGTCCACTGTTTTAGTTGGTGTTTTGCATGAGCAAAGTTCAGAACTTTATTAACTGTTTTCTTTAGCAATTTTGTATATTTCCAAAACAGTGTCAGCATGCCTTGCAAACAAAATAGTCAGCCAAATGGCTCACTTAAAACACTGCTCCTTTTTTTCCCTAATGTCTGTCCCATTCCACCCATGGCTGATGATTAAAAACTTAAGTAGCAAGTGTGCAAACAAATAGCCTTTGAAAAATAATTATAAATTCTAACATTCAACAGTAACTTTTGCCCTTTGACATGAAAGTAGGTTTTAAGCTGCAGTCTAGTTCTAAATCTGTTTTACACCCGTAACAATTTCTAATAGCTTAACAATGATTTTTGAAAAACATATAAACATAGTGACTCATTTTCTATTTGATTTTTTTTCTCTGCCCAATCATGAGTTACTACTTTATAGATTTAATAGTAAGACACTGAATATTATATGTCCATGTTAGGAATGAACAGCAATATTCACCAGCAACCAAATAAATAATGTCTTGGGAATTCACTGATCAAAGATGAGTATCATAATAGAAATAGGCAATAGTGATGGCTTCCCTCATTTTCATACTGCAAAAAGAAATAACTTTGATCATCACTCAGATAATTCCTCTACTGTTGTGTTAAATGAAATACTAATGGACTGTTATAATGCAGTGATGGGCAACTCTAACTTGGGTGGATTTGCCATTCAGTCCAAATATACTGTAGCTAAACTTGAGTAGGGTGCATGTCTTAAGCCAGTTTGGTCAGAGAAAATTTGTGGTGGTCTGATACGGACATTCTTTTAATTTACAACTGCTATTCATTTTAATCTTAGTTTATTGACTGGCTGTTTAATATAATGGAGAGCCCTAAAGAAGTGCTATCTGAATCCTCCAGAGACATGTTGAAAGGTAATGTATTTCTGATATTGTTTATTCCTATATTTCCTTCAACACAGGACAACAGCATTAATCTGTTAAAGAAGAAAAATGTGTGTAGGTTAACAACATATGTTGATGACAGAACTACATATTGGCTTTAAGATAACCTCCACAAGCAAATAAACATTCTTCTCTCTTTAAATCCTTTTTTAGATTGTTTGATCCCTCATTTTATCTCTCTCACTCACCATGCAATGGAAAATCCAGATAGAATAAAGTGTTGCTCTCAGTTTTAGCATAAAATAGCGTCAAACACCAAAAGCTTTGTTAATGTCCAGTTAAGGTTACTGGCATATATCAATGGCTTGAGTACATGTTATTTTTAAGGAAAGTTAGAGTTATAAAAAATATATATTTTAAAAAATTTCAAGTGTTAGTGCAAGCTTTGTTCTGCATTTCCTAGTGTGTCATTGTTCTGGGAAGACCAGTAATCCAGTCAGTTAATGTGGCCTTTAATCTTTGACAGCCAATTCAAAATTATTTAATCCTGTGTAACCTGGCTAATCCTAAAGAGTGTAAAACTGCTTCAAGACTAACCATTTTCCTAAAGTTTTTTCAGTGTGCACCCGGGGATGCTTTTGCAGGGACAGGGAAGTCTTTGTAGTGGCCACGAACAGGTTGGGTCCCATGGGAGGAGCAAATTGTGATATGACCAACCTTCCCTTGCTAGAAATGACACACTTCCTTAGCTAATCTCTTTCACAGTCTCCTGCCATTCATATGGAAGCAACAGGGGCTTGGGGAGTAACATTGAAGAGCAGGGAATGAGGTGGGATTATTAGCAAGAGGAGAAGGAGAGGGGATGTTATTTTGTATTGTGGTTGTGCCTGGACACCCTGGCTCAAATACCATCCCCCTTGTACTAGCTTCTGCAGAACTCTGAAAACAACCAATGAAAATAATATAGAAATAATTGTGATACAGGTGACTCTTGTCTTTTACTATACAGTTTGTACATAATCATGTGACTTGTCCTTGTTTTCTCAGCTACACTTCTGGCTTTGAGGTTTCTACCAGAGTTCAAGAAGAAAGCAGTATGGACTAAGGCTTACGGTTGGTAGCCACAAGATAGCATCATCATCATATCTGATAAAGAGACGGCCCTTAATACTGAGAGAAAAATGCATAGCAGAAATGTTCAGTCATCAATAAGTGTCATTCCAAAGAAATTTTATACTATGAAGTATTATGGGATTTTCTTCCCAGGGATTCAGAGAATAGAAAAGTCATTTGGTTTGACTGGTCAGTAGGCCAGCTCCTATCCTGAGCTGTCTTGCCCCGGTATGAGGACAAGCTTTGGGCTACGTTTTGAATGTGAGTTAAAAATTTAAATTTCAGAGGTATTTAAATACGGTAGTGAAAGCTGCAGAAAGCCTTCTTTCTGTAATAGGTGGAACCTTTATATGAATAGGTGAAAAAATTAAAAACAAATCTTGCAAAATTGTTTGACATGGTGTATTTATTAAAAAGCACAATATTTCTTTATTCTGGCTTTTTAATTAGCTTTCATTTCAACTGACAAAATTTCTGTTAACATGATTCCTCCATATTATAACATTCATCATCCAATGTTGTTGTTGTTATACGATCCACAACACTATTTTTGTGATAGTAGCATAGTTACCAACCTTGTAACGATTTTACCAGGGACACTTATCCAGGTAAGTGTGGGATCTGGGTGTTGCTAGGTACATTTTGATGAATTTCAGGTTAATTTAATCATGAATATTCCAATTCAGGGCCTCAGAAAATTAGGATCTGAATAATTTTCCAGAAGCTTGGATGCTTTTCAAAACCTATGAAGACCCCATCTTCCTTACACACAATGTTCCATCTTCTCAAATCTCCCACTCCAATAATACCCTTCCCCTACCTCCATAGATACCTTCAAGTTTCGGGGCGGGGGGGGGGAGGGGAGAGAGGACAGCAGGTCTTTTCTACCTTTGCCATGTTAAAAAGAAGAGGGCAGGTCTGTTCTCTCCTCAGCATCTTAATGTCTCTGAGAGGACATAGGACTTCTTCTCTTTTCCTTCTCTTTTTCCCAGCAAGCATATGGATCTACTCTTCCTGGGGAGCCCATTTTTTCACCTCCCTCTAAGCTCCTGCATTTCTCCTGCTACTGAAATCTTATTTCCCTCTTCCTTTTTTCTAATGTTACCCTCCTGGCATTGTGCCCTCCCATTTATAAGTCCCCTTTCTGAATCTTATTTCGGCCTGGTCCCTCTTCTTCCCTTTAACCCATTTGCGTGTCTCACACTTTAGCTCCCTATGTCTCCAACTTAAATAGGGAAATGCAAGGGTCCACACAAGATGGAGCTTAAAGAGAAGCGTAATTGATGCTAAGGTTCTTGAAGAAGCCCCCTCTGCACTGGGGTAAATGCCGCCTGTAATTGACTGAGTAACTAATCCCATACTGGTCCCTAGTGTCTACTGCAGTGACCTCAATCTGAGCAGTATGTAATTTAGCTATCCTAGATATGGTAGTTTTCTCAGGCAAGTATTCATCTTCATAGTATGCCACAGTAGTATATTTATTCTTTTATTACTATTCCCAGTTTAGTATTCTTAACAGCTGAAGTGAATGAATAAATCTTCTATGTCTGCTATTTGGTTCTCTTAACCAAGACCCTTTAACCAGTGAGAATCCGGTACGGTACTTGTGTATGCTTTATATTGCAATAGACATATGCCTTCTCAAGACGTGTTTTCATTTTGGCTGTGTCTATACTGTGAGCTAGGGGTGTGATTCCCAGCTCAAGTACACATACTCACATGAGGTCTCATTGAGCTAGTGCGAGTATAAATAGTAGTATAGCCATGGCAGCGCAAGTAAGGGTGGCATGGTTCCACTATGCTGTGTACATGTACCTGTGGGTTTCAGGTCAGTTTGTACTCAGTATGGCTAAGCCATGCTGCCGTTCTCATTCTTATTGCTGAGAGCTAGTGTAAGTACATGTACAAGAGCTGGGAATCACACCCCAGGTCACAGGGTAGATGTAGCCTTTGTATTATCATTAACATGCCAGTAGTAATTCTTAAGAACCATCTAGACCAGTGGTTCTCAACCTGTTGACAGTTGTGGGCCGCCTATATAGCTCTCTGTGTTATGTGGACCACATCCACACAATATATATACCACCCATATGGCCCTGAGGATGTCATAGGGGTCGCAGTTGTGTGCTGATTGGGCCACAAGCAGGCCATGGCTGGAGAACCACTGATCTAGATCATGATTAATCAGATTAGCCTGTTAATTCTTTGCATAGTTTAAGAGATTAACTGAACACACTTTTCTGCAGCTGCAAACGTATGAGTTTTGAGCACCTTGCTAGTGCAGAATCAATATTGACTGATATATACACACTGTAAAACTGAAAATCATTTACATGCTCCAGGTGTCCATGTGCGGCTAAATCAGGTTTGGTAGTTACTGCTGTATTTTCACCCAAAGATTTTTTTAAAATAGGTTTGCTATCATTCAAAATTAAAATAAGTAAATAAATTGCACAAATTAAAATAATATTCATTAATTAAATATGAATTTATCAAATTGAAATACAATATTAGTGGTGGGATTTTACATTTAAGTGTGGTTCAATGTAAAAACAGTGAATTAAATGGTAAACCATTTGCCAGCATCAGCAACTACAGTAGGTCTGTGGATCAGTAACTTTTTACGCCAACAAACTTCAGCAAACAATTTCATTTTTTGAATGCCTGAAGTTGGCTTAAGTTCAGATTTAGGTCCCTATATAAGAATGGCTTGATTCTCAAAAGCAGTCAATACCTACAACTCCCTCTTCATTTGGTGGAGTGGGTGCAAAGTTCATCTGAACAATAAGCCCCTTGTTAGGGTGCCGAAACATAGACTTAAGGCATCTTACTTTAGGAACCTGAGATTGAAAATTTTGACCAGACTGTACCATGTGAACAGAATGGAAAATATCAGCATTTTTCAACAAATGTTAGGGATCCACCATCATTTTACTCTTTCAGGATATGCTTTATAAGGTGAGATTCTGGGCTGTGCTTCTAAGAGACAGCACAGAGCTCCCAGCCTGCGGAATGGGTGGCAGGGGTGTGCTAAGTTCACTTTGACCCACCTTTTCTGCCCTGGTGAATCTGGACTGGTCCAGAGGCTAAAGTAGCCTCAGCTGGGCTGTCTACATTACAGCAGCATGTCCACAGCTAGCTGTGCTGTCTGGAATCGCTGCTGGGTAACATGCTGCAGCCCTGCCTCTGATACTCCCTTCCCACACCAGGCACAGCTGCTACCCCAGGATTCTTAAGAGGGTCCTCTGTCTTCCTCAGCTCGTGCACGGAGGGAATTCTCCCCTGCCCGGATCACATAAATCTCTCCTTCAACAGATAGCATGATCATATTTAAAAACATCACATTTGCTTTTGTAACTAAATAACGTTACAACAATATTCGCTCTATTTCCTAAATACAGGCAATACTATAATATTTACCTCTTTTGTAAAGCGCGTTGAGATTTACTGACCAAAAGTGCTGTATGTTAGCATGCACACCACAATAATACCTGGATGCAAAAGCAAAGTATTTAATGGTACCCACTTTAGTGTACTCTTCCCAGGTAACAAACAAATATACCTGTCTAAGGCTATGTCTCCAGTACAAGCTAGGAGTGTGATTCCTTTGTTCATGTACACGTACTCAAGCTAGTTCCAGCATAAATAGCAGTGTAGCCGTGGTAGCACAGGTAGGGGCAGTTCAGATACAGCTGAGCTGCCTGGTGTGGCTGTGGACGTGTCCTAGAGCCACTAAATCATCAATTTGAGATGCTCTTCACTCATTGGTTATTCAAATGTTGTTTCAAGACAAAGGCATACTTAGGTTTCACTTTTCAGAGGCTTAAATAGGTAAGAGAATTTTCATGACTAGAAGTGTTTTCATTTCACTCTTTAGTCCACTTAATTTTTTCTGTCTTTTATTCAAGCCCAAAGGGTGGTGGGGAATAGTACCAATGGGGAACAAGTCAGCCTATGGTTTTCTCCCGAGTAGCTTGTGCAGTTGGAGAAGTAATTTGTCCCCCAGGAAAACGTATCCTATTTTCTTGCTGCTTCTCATAAGTAGTTCCCCACCTCATAGGACCAAATCCTAATTACTTTTGTTGCACAAGTAACCTCACTGACGTGAATGGGACAATTCTCATGTGTGAGACAATTTGGATTTGGCCTACAGTATCTAAAATCCATTATCTTATTTTTAAAGGCAGAGTATTTCTTGGACTGACTATATCATACTTTGATGAGTTAAGTAAGAGTGAGCGTCTGTCTGTCTTGTTTCTTCAGTTCCAAGGTAATCTGGATGTCACAGTTAAGAAAAACAGATCCGTCAATAGTGTCTACTGGAAATATATTAGAATCATAACTTCTACTTCTGTATGTGAAATGCCCTCTAGGACTTGTAGTGAATAGACACTGTAACTGCATTTGTCACTTACATTTACTTTAAGAATTGGGGTGGGGGGGCGAGTGGAGGAGGATGGGTTTTCTGTGAACAGTTTTACCTATTGGTATTTGTGTGAATGTGGCAAAATGCAGAACAACCAGCTTCTGCTTTATAATCTATTGCAGTTCCAGCAAATTTGATATTCATACATCTGTTTTACATAGTCTAACAGGTGAGATAATGATAAAAACTAAATACCATTGACATTTTACTGATATAAAATGCAGAATCCATGCTACTGCTGCGATGGGAACCCATTATTAAAATATAGGAAATGCTGATATGATTGACGTTTTTTGCCACATTTTGTAACCTGTCATTTTATGTTAGAAAAAGCTAGAGTAATCTCTGAGGCCAAGACTTTAAGAAGTGACGGGAGATTTGAGGTGCTTACGTTTGAGTGCCCAATGTGAGAAGCCTTAAAGGGCCTCATTTTCAGAAAGCGTGGAGCACCTGCCCTTGTAAATTGGGAACTTCTTATGCGCCCAACTGGGAGCGCCTTAGATCACTAAGCACTTCTGAAAATCTTGGTCTAAATTATTTCCACATAATGTGTTAGCATAGCATGTTCTAGAGCATTTTCCTCATTACAAGACAAGATATCAACTTAGCTCCTTTTCTCTTTGATGTAGCTGGCTCCTAGGTGAGCTTTCCTTTCTGAGCAGAGGTATCTAGTGATGAAGAACATACCTAAATTGAAACATAAAATGTAAGTGCAGGGAAGCAGACGCCAAAAGGCCCAGCATTTACCTAGAAAAAACAGGTGGACCTGGACCTGCACCTGAAAACCCTAATGGGATGAGTCCAATTGACCCAAATGGTCCTGTGGGTAGTCCCATTAAACCCACAGGAGTAAGGCTTTTCAGACAGGTTCTATATTCTTGTAACTAACCACACTATATTTTTAGGTATCTGTCATTATATGAGATATAATGCCCGGACTGGGCAAGGTCTCTGGGCAGCCAATCAGTAATGCTGGGGCCTTCATGATAGCCCTTTGTGCAGCTGTGGCGCAACAGAGACGATGACGCACATTGCCGATGAATGCCTGCTGACTAGCTTCAGCGGTGGGCTAGAACTGCATCACGCCACTGAAGATGCCATCGCTTGGCTAGACAACTATGCACATGCTAAATACATTATATGAGACCTCAGCAGGGCCGCCCAGGGAGGGAGCAAGTGGGGCAATTTGCCCCAGGCCCCGCAGGGGCCCCTACAAGAATGTTGGAGGCTCAGCATGCCGCATCCAGGAGCGGCCCTGGACAGCGCTATAGCCGCGTGGCCTGTGCTCCTCCCGCTCAGGGCCGCGTGGTAAGGGGGCGGGGCTGCGAGCTCCGGCGGGCCGAGCAGCAGGAGCTCCTGGATGCAGCTCGCTGAGGCTCTGGGAGAGGGGGTAAGTGGCATGGTAAGCCCCTCTGAGCCGGGCACCCCCCCAGCCTTGACCCCCCCAGCCCCTCTGAGCCGGGCACCCCCTGACCCCATCCCCCCACAGCCCTGACCCCTAGCTCTGAGCCCAGCCCCTCTGAGGCTGACGCCCCCCTGACCCATCCCCCCCACAGTCCTGACCCCCAGCTCCAAGCCCAGCCCCTCTGAGCTGGGCACCCCCCGACCCAGAGCCCAGCTCCCCACCCAGCCATGGGCAACAGTAGCACCACCCCCAGGCAGCGACAGCCCATTGGCACCAACTATCACCATCACCCAGTGACAGCCCATTATGTAATTGCAAATGTATACATAGCATTAAAGCATTTAATGTTTTTAAATAATGTATTTTCAAATTACATTCAAAAATTAATTTTTGAATGTATTTCACTGGTTATTTTTTACATTTCCAAATACATGTTAATATAGTATTGCAACTTTTTTTATGGAAGGGGCCCCTGAAATTGCTTTGCCCCAGGCCCCCTGAATCCTCTGGGCGGCCCAGGACCTCAGTAAGTAAATCTAGCCAATGCAGGTCCTGAGACATTTTCCTGGAACCCTTAAAGCACACCTGCTATATATAGGGTAATTATAATACTGCAGTTATTGCCATTACATTGATGCATATGTACACAGATATTTTTTCCAGATTAGCAGGACCACCCCACAGCCACCGTCATGACTAGTGTCCTCATTTTTCTGGTCGAGGATTGAACAAGAATCCCTTATGAACCAGCCAACAATGTACTTCATCTAAAAGGATCAATGAGTTTTTTAAAAACAGATGGGCCCATGCTACAAAAATTAGCACCCAAATGTGAGGGGGTTCAAATGGAGTCAGCCAGAAAGTTAGATGCAGATCCAAACTTCTCCAAAGTGCGGGCCTGTTTGGATCCAGGATTTTGCTGTAACCCACAGTAACCGTAGGTGGGGGAACAAGCTATGAAGTTTGGATTTAGCTCCAAATCTCCTCAAGGCTGGAGGAGTTCTGGTACAGGATGTCAGACCTAGTTTAAAAGAACAAAAACTGCGGGCCTGATCTAATGCCCACTGGAAATCTGTGGAAAGGTTTCCATTGACTACAAATGGCAGCAGAATCAAGACCTGACTCAGGACTTTCTGTTGAATTAACATCTATAGTGATGAAGGTGGCTCAAACACACTATATTCATTTTCCATCCACTTTTTTTTCTTAATAGTTCTTTTCCCCACACTCCCTCTCTCTAGAAACAGATAATTCACTTCTAAATGAGATGCTGGAATTCAAACCAGCCAACTCCTGAGCAACATGAACTCCCCCTTAACACAGAGCTGTCAATGCAGAAACTGCCTAGGAGAAGGCACAGCTTACAAAGAATTTTCATTGATTTGATTTTTGCCTGCTCAGGCTTGTGAATTCCAGCACAGTGGCATTAAGATCCTGCTCACAAGTGATGAAAATCTTACCTACAAACAGCATTGCCAGGTACAGCTTTAGTATGTACGGGAAGTAGATCGATAAGGCAACTGGAAATGGTAGCTTGGTGGAGTATGTGCCGAAGGATTCAAAGTAAGGCAGTGATTCATAGATGGCAAATGCTGCAAAATAATGTTTTGATGTTTTTTAAAGCTGGAGTTATAGTAAAAGACTTAAGTGAAAGATCATCTGTAAGAAAACTACATTTAAGGGGCATGAAAAATGGGTCTTGGTCTACTGCCTTATCTTGTGAAATGTAATCTGTATGAAACAGCATACTTAGCATGCATACATGGCTTTACTTTTAATTCATTTTCTTGGGACTGAAGTTGTAATCATTTTGATAACTAGGATTAGCAAATATTTACTTAGTCCTCATCTCTGCTGGGGTTTTCAGCTACAGGTATAGTGCGCACACCTAGTCTAGGCACAGTAAACTGCTATAAGCCACAATGGTTTCATGCATAAGATGGTTTCAAGTAGGGGTCAGCTGCACCAGTGCATTTGCCAGCTTTGTCTGTGCTTTGCAGTTGGTGCCTAGAATTAAGCTACACCAAGGACTGCAGAAAAGTGTCGGCATCCTAGGTTGATGTTCTGTGGCTTTCGTTGTGCTAACAAATTGTTAATTTTCCAGGAGAAAGGAACTGTCCTGTAGAAACCAAGAAAGAAACAGAGAAAGGGGAAAGTTAGATGAAGAAGTGTGTAGATAAGAGTAAAGAGGTTTAAATGTGTCTTATTTCTCAAAAACTCATCAAAATGATCAAACTCTACTGAGTGAGATTCAGAAAACAAGTAATTTCCCTCATGCCTACTCCCTCCCTCTTACCTTTAGCCAGAACTGACAGGGGATATACTGGAATCCATAGTGTGTAGTTCAGCCATGTCAAAGCTCCATAGTATGTTCCGGACACTGATAACATGCAGTAAGTGTATCTGGAATTAAAAAAAAAAAAAGACAGGGAACTTGTGTTTATTTTTCAAATTCAGATAAAATAGGAATGAATAAACATCTTACTCCTTAAAACAGCCATCTATACTGAGAAATCTGTGGATTCCAGATTCCTGTACACTAAGCGTTTGAGCCACTCAGATGGAATGCTGGACATGTGTTAGAGAAAAATTGCACCCATTTTATTTAGTGTCAAACTCGCATTAGAACCCAGAGACAACCAACTTGCTGAAGAGTTCTTTTATTTGTGACCCTGGTTTACAGGGGGGGCTGGGGGGGGAAAGAGATGAAAATAACAATAATATGGTGCATTCTATGTTATACTTATCATGAAGGTTCTTATGCAAACCAGGTTCCAATGTGCTTTCATATTGGTTTGTCAGAAAATGGGCTTCAGATATGCATGTAACTTCAATGGGAAGCTCATATGTGTAACAGACACTAGAATATGGTCCTTAATATTTGATATAAAAACAACTATAAACATTATTACTAAATTATTATTGAAGCAGGCTAGAAGTTGGATTACTGCCATGGTTACAGATGGCACTACTGTTCAGTAAGAGGGCAGCCCCCCATCATGGGGCCCAGAAATGCACATTGGAATATTTCCCTTATCCTCCCTGTGCAAAAAACTGAGGGTCAGACTTAGTAACTACACAACATGGGTGTCATTCTAAAAAGTTTTGAGGTGGATATAGGGACCCAGGAGAACACCAAGGACCTAGCAGCCCTCTCAGAAAGGGCCCATCAATAAGTCTCCAATTATGTGCACTCTTGAATCTTCAGATGATTTAGTAGGGGGTTAAAAAAAGCCCACAGAGCCCCTTGTGTGAAGAAATGCAGGCAGAACTCTTAAGAACATTTTGTTGCTTAGTCTGTGTCCCCATTCAGCATGTCTCACTCTCTCCCTATAGGGTCTGGGAGTAGGATTTGGCCATCTCAGAAAAGTAAAATGGAAAATGGCTTGTGTGTACTAACACAAGAATTCCAGAACACTGGTAGATTGTCAGCTAAGTGGAATTCCTGCTGCTTCATAATGGAGACTTCTTTCCTAGGGCTATGTGGCAATTAGCAGTCTCCTCTGAAATTGAGCAGTCATAATGCATAATGGGAATCCAGAACTCCTAGCTGTTCTCTATTAGATTTGGTTTTTAGAGTCTCAAGGTGGTCTAGGGTTGTTTGAACTGAGTGACCCAGTAACTTTCTGAAGATTTGAGAGACTGGTTAGATCACATTTTTGGTCAGTTGAAAGGCCCTACACTTGCTGTAGATCTCTAAAAAAGTGTGTTTAAGCCACCATTAGCTGGGACTGTTTCTGGCAGATAACACAGCCCTAGGCAAACTTCCTGGTTGCCCCAGTATTAACAACTGTTTGTGAAATGCTGGGTGGTACACCCGATGGAAAGGTTAATAGGTTAGGGGAAACTGTGTTGTACATTCTCCTCTCTCCCTTGATTTTTCACCAGCCTTTTTTTAAAAGCAAACTTGCAATATAATACAAAAAGCAGATATTACCAAGTGCACTAAGCAAGAAAGATCAGATTTGTAGGGGTAGGCAGAATTCACCCGCCCTGTGTCATTAGCCCTAATGCTCAGAAAACTTCATATCTTTTAAGAATGGATCTAGAACTAGTTGTTAGGGTATGAAAGAAGAGCCTCCTTCTGGCTCTATACCACAAAAGCATCCCCTTTTACTAGTGTGATCTTCTCGATACCATGCACACTGGATCTACTAGTGCTGGGGCACAACGCCACTGTACCACACTGGAAGATCTGCCCCAAAATGTGGAACCAAATATCTAAGCCTTGACAAAACAGAATTCTGTAATTTCAAATAATAATGCTTTCTCAGATGCTCAACCATAATCAGTAATTAAAGACAATATTAGTATTCCCTAGAGAGTGGGAAACATTGAAAATAATTTAAATTTGAGCTTTGCAGAGTTGTTGTTTTCCTGGGGTTTGTCTCTAGTGAAATTTCTGTTGGTATGTTTTCAAATATAGTTAAAGGAAATTCTCTTAAGGAGCAGGTACTTCTCCTAAACAATACTTAATCATTCCTCAAGGAAAGATTATTATTAATTTACACTATATACTCGGAAACAGCCCTAGTCCTTGATCTTCAGTGCATAAGACAGACATCATTCCTGGTAACTCGGATAGTTATTATTGTTCGAGTGGTTTCCTGGACTTGCCCAGGTTGCTTAAGTCTTCTGTTCCTCAGGCATAAAAGTTACAATATATCCTAATATTTGTTTACTTTGCAATATAGGCAACTTTTTTGTTTTGGGTTAAAATGTGCCCACTTGCTCTGCAATAGGCAAAGGAGGATGTGCAAGAAGCCCCTTCCTCTTATGCCCCTGTATATCAGTTTGAGTACAATTGCATTCCATTGTAACTCAGGGACTGCTCCATCTATACACCCCAAAACATTGATGAGGATGTTGTGGCCCAACATCCTTTACATACCAGCCCAACAAAGCTGGTTCGGTGCAGAGGAGAGAGACGGCTGCACTACCAGAATTCTGACACATCATCCCCCACAGGAAGTTGTGTCTCAAAGGCATAATAGAACATTTAATAAGTCCAACACAATCAAGCAGACAGGGCTAATTTATCCATTACTGATTATGGTTGTATGTGATGCAAATCAGATTCAGTCATTTTTTATATATATATATATATATATATATATATAAAT